GAGCACATGAGAGGGGGAGGGCCAGAGGGAGAAGCAGACTCCCTGCTGAGCAGGGAGCCCGATGTGGGACTCAATCCCGGGACTCCAGGATCATGACCTGAGCCGAAGGCAGTCGCTTAACCAACTGAGCCACCCAGGCGCCCCTTCCTGACTCCTTTTTAATCTTACAGATTTCAGAGGACCGAACAGAGGAAAACCAAAATCCAGTTGTTCAATAATAAGTTAATCAGTTCAACGAACTGTTGGGCATTCTATTAGTTGCTAGGCATTTCTTGGCTTGTTGAGGATTTAAGCAATGGATAAGGCAAAAACTCTGCCTTTGTAGTAGGTGATGAGTCATTTGGGGGAGACAGAAGTAAACAGGCAAAACCAGTATATTAAATATTATCAGTATAACAGGAGTATTAATTATGTAGGGTCCTATAGGAACAGGAACATAGAGGAACAACTACTCAGCTCTTCTTGATGATAATTCAGGAAATTTTGACTGAGAATGTGATTATCAACCTCTTGAAGAATGAATAGGATTTTTTCAGATGAACAAGAGTAGGATGGCTTTTTAGCCATAGGAAGATTTTGTACTCCAGGGACCTGTGAGTATTTTAGAACAGCTAGAGCACATGGTGTGTGGCAGAGAGAAAAAGAGGTGTGACTGAAGAGGTGGAGAACTTTCCACAAAGGATCTTGAATGCAATGACATATATTTTGGATTTTTTTTCTGTGGGCAGCAAGGAGTCAGTGAAAGGTTTTAAAAGCAGTATGAGTCCTGGGAGAAGGATTGAATATGGTGCAGTTCTCCATGGAAGGAAATACCCGAAGGGGGAGCAACTTGTGGGTGAGGCAGTGATAGCAGGGATTTGGTAAAAGGTGTTTAGTTGAGTTTTGTAGATACTGAGTTTGAGGTGCCACTGGGGAAGGCCTTCAGAAATCTGGTTCTAGAGTTCAGGACTTAGCCATTGGATGGGTTTGACAGTTTGTAGATCTGGGATTAGCTGGTGGCTCCTGTTTAGGAGACTCATTGAACTTTGGAAAGATGACTAGTAGACACTAACCCCGGGGTAGCCACTGAATTCCCCTCCCCACCACGTAAAAGCTAATGGTGGTAGTCTTTTTATTTTTAATTTTGTATTACTGTTTTGGGCGCCTGGGTGGCTCAGTTGGTTGAGCAACTGCCTTCGGCTCAGGTCATGATCCTGGAGTCCCGGGATCGAGTCCCACGTCGGGCTCCCTGCTCAGCGGGGGGTCTGCTTCTCCCTCTGACCCTCTCCCCTCTCGTGCTCTCTGTCTCTCATTCTCTCTCTCAAATAAATAAATAAAAAAAAAATCTTTAAAAAAAAAATTTTGTATTACTGTTTTGAAAATATCTGATGTTATTATCTCTAAAGGAGGAAATTAGGTATATTTTATGCCATAGAAATTAGTTTTCTAATTGGATGAGTGAAGGAATTTATTTTCCATGGGGGTACTAGATTTGGGGCAGGTCCATGGTAACTCTAATCTGGAACCTTAGACTTTTCCTGTTTTACTGTCCACTGAGAATCTGGTGAGATACAGTGAGAGACTGGTATTATTTTATTCACTGTAGATTTTTTTTTTTGCCCCCTCCCCTCCAACACTGCTGTAGCGCGTCCCCACCCCTCAGTGGTCCCCGTAGCAGAGAGCCCCAGTCTGGTCCAGGTGGGAGACCAGAGCTCCCCCAATCCTATTCCGTTCCCCTCCACACATGTCCAGAAAAGAGAGGCAGGCACCCTGGTACCCGCAGGACCCCCAGCTCTGCCGCAGGAGCAAGGGCAGTGGCTGGATTGAGGCAGCCTCAGTGGGGACTCTATTCTCTGTAGATTTTAACCTTTACAGATCTAGTGTTGATCCTGTGTGTTTTGGAAATATCAAAAGATTCTGCGTATCAAGCAGAATTATTTCTAAATGTGTGACATGGATTCTTAAAAACAGTGTCAGAGGGACGCCTGGGTGGCTCAGTCGGTTAAGCATCTGCCTTCAGCTCAGGTCATAATCCCAGGGTCCTGGGATTGAGCCCC